CAAAGTGTTGCCGCGCAAAGTGTTGCCGCGCAAAGTGTTGCCGCGCACATTCACCGACAGGGGCACCCAACATCTTGTGAAAGAATCCCTGGGCAGGCCACAGGGGGAAGTTTCTTTGCAGCCCTCGACATACTTCAAGCAGTTTTCTCCTTTGTGTGGCGCGACCAACAGGGGTTTGAAATGGGTCTGAACAACACCCCAAACTTTTTCAAGGATGTCTGCCAAGTGACAGTGCCTGCGAAATCCGTTTTCACCTGGACTTTGGCTTTGCCAGGCATCGAAGCTTCTCGGAAGAGTGAGCGTTCTGGGAAGATGTCGAGAGCAAGAAGTGAAACCTGTGCAAGCCAAGATCTGGGGGCAAAATGTGTCACAGATAGCCTGTCCTGGCATCAGGTAATGTTTTCACCCACGAAGGGTTCCAAATCATGAGACAAGCGGAGTTTGCAACATACATAAGAACTTTTCTATATGAAAGAAAACAAAACCAAAAGAAGGCGTGTCACAAAGTGCCGCGGTCTTCTCTCCTGTCTTCTCTCCTATCCGCAAAACCGAGCTGCTGCCTGCTGCAGCGTTGTGATTGAGCCAAGGCAGATCTACTTTTCAGTTTAGCGCCCACGAGCTGCAAAAAGAGGCCTGTAACATCTCCGAACTAACTGCCAGCACATACGGGCCTATCATTTTGCTCAACTACTGTACCAAGCAATGCTTGTGAGGCTACCGCCTGAATGTCTGGGGGGTGCCGAGGTCACTGTTGCCGGTGATCATCATGTGCCCAGTGAGTGAACTCACCCTGCCGGTGGCGTCAGGAGTTCATAAGACCGCAAGACCATTGCCAGCGAAACCAAACCTCAGCTGCTTCAATCAGGCTACTAGTAACAAGAAGCTACTAGCAAAGGGTATCGCTACTAGGAGCAAGAAGCTACTAAGTAAGAAAGGGCACACCTTTCTTCAGAAGTAGAGTTGGGTCACAGAGACCTCGGCAGTGTTGCGCTTCCACGCCAGGAGGCCGGCGTTGAAGGGCGAAAGAACCCCGAAGACCAACAGAGAAATCACTGTATATGTTATGTTGGTGTCGAATCCTTCAGGGCACTGCAGAGAAGTCTGAGTGTGAATCCTTCAATGCCTATTTATGTCAGGTATGTGACCCATAGTTTATGCATACATTTCAATCACGCGCAACGTGTCAAGCTGGCGAGCCTTCTTTTTCCATCTCTTAGGCCGTTTTGTGGCCTAAGCGACACAACTCCTGAGCTAGTAGGAATTTACAACCTGTTAGTAGTTTTTCTGGGCTAGTGTCCATGGGCTGCCTACGGGCTCTTGTCCATGACTTGAGCAGAGTTCAGAGGACATAAACAAAGGACACAAACACTTTCCAAGACCATCCGACTCGGCACACCTTCCGGAGGATTGGGATCGACATGAGCTTGAACGACGCGGAGGTCTTGGCCTATGCTGTACCTTGCCGGGCGATGCAGGTTTCAGGAGACCCCCTGGCCCTGGCTGGGCAGACGAAATTTTTCCGGGTCGTTGCCTGGGAGGTCTCCGCCACAAATCGTTCGGTGGCGCTTTGGTTCGCCTTCGCGCGTGCTGCGCGCGTCGGCGAACCACCGCCCGCGCGTTTTCATGGGGTCAATGGCGGCGGCAATGGCGTGTGTGTCTTGCGGCGTCTGGCGCGGTGGTAGTGTGTCAGGGCGCCGCTTCTTGGATTGTTGTTAACATGAAGAGGATAGGCTGCCCCACATCACAGGTCGTTCAAGGCTAATCAAAGGTTAAACAATTGGACAGTTTTCATGCGACTTGCGTAGACAGGGAAGAACTAAGTGTGGCTCAGCCACTTGGTCCTAATTGGTTGGTTTGTAAAATTAATAGAGACATCCTTTGGATCCTTTTTTTTCAGCGCTTTTCAGCCTCCTTCCGTCCTCAGTTTGGTGATTTAAGCAAGGAAGCTCGAGCTGCCTTTGGCATAGGTCGTTTTGCTGGGAAGATACCAGAAACAAAGCCAAATAGATGGAGTGGACGTAGCCGGGGTTTGTCTTACTTTGTACAGTGGTTTGAGAGGAGATAGCACCGTGAGATTGTATACGATGGACATCCACATGAACTGCTGCATATGTGTTACTCTGAAAACACAGGAAATCCAAGAGAATCCAAGAGAATTGATGCACAGTGCATGGGCTTTACATCGATCTAGCTGTGATGCTGGATGTCATCTTGTGGAAACAGTGCACCTGCTGTTGGACGGAGATGTTTGATACTTTTGGAGGATTTCATGATCCTCGTGTAAGAAATTGTAAGACACCAAGAACCGCGAATTCTGGACGACAAATGGCACGAGACTCGACGCCGGCATGTGTTTTTGAATCCTTTTGAGTTGAAGCGGACGTGAGTCGTCGTTGGTGTTTGGCCCGAACAAGACATCAGCAGCGAGGAAGCGTGTTTGTTTTTGTATTGTTTTGTTGGATTCTTTTCCCCAAGAAAATCGGATTGTATATTAATAATAGGTACCTACAGTAGATGTACCTATACCCTTATAAGGGGTGTAAGTCTGGGGGTGTCAAGTACCGCTTGGAAGCAGCTGGTAGATTTGTGTTCCAACGAGACACTCCACTTCGACTGCTTCCAACCGTTTCTTTTGTGCAATCGTAGAAGTGAGATTCACCGAAGTACTGCCATGGGCCATGGAGATCATTCCTAGAACCTGAGTGATCTCTATTTTTGGACTACCGACCACTTCAAAAATGGTTCAACGTCCTATTCAAAACAGGGGTTATGTTTGTCTGGGCTCTGAGACATCTTGAGATATCTCTGCGAGTGTTGTTCAATGGAAGACCTTTTGAATCACTTCCGTCAATAGAGGTTTATATAGAAGTATATAGGAACCTATATAGGAGTCCACCGGAGCCTATATGTTAGATATAGGCTTTCCAAAAAGAATCAATCATAACAAGATCCCCAGAACCCAGGCTGTTCCTGCTCTCAGAGCAGTCGTAGGTCTCCGCGAAACAGGTCTCCAGGCGTGGGGAATGGACGGTCTCACCACGTGGGGAATGGAAGGTCTCCGGCGGGGGACGGACCTGAAGGTGATTTTCAGTTGAAATACACACCCAGATAGTATCTACAGACTGTTGATGAATCAACCCCCCCAGGCCCTTTTGGGGGTGCGTTGAAAACAAAGCTTTCCATCTCCACATCATGAGTCCTTTTAGACACATACTATTGATGACCTTTTCTGGTTTGAACAACAAGTGCAGTTGCACGAGCCAGTGAACATCTAAACATCAAAGCCCCAGATCTTTTCATGCGAGCAACCAGGCTGACTGAGTCCAGCCCCCTAGTCCGTGCTGAGGACGCGCCCTTTGTGGTGGTGGAGAATCTGTTCTGTTCCTTGGAAGGTCTGGCTGGGCACACAGTTTTCGACCAAAAAAGCACAGGTTTTTCACTCCAGCATCAGGGAGTAGAAACACAGGGACCACGGGGAAAACACATTTACAAAGCACATCCAAGGTGTGTTTTGATGGAGAAGCATTGTAATCACGATCGAGGAAGATCGATTGAGAGCCCCTTTGAACACCATCATCAAGGTGTAGAAGATGAAGAACATGATTCTATATCCGGTACATGGAGCCAGTGCGTCAAAAGGATCAGCCGAACAACTTTTTTCAGGCAAACACCGCCCGCAATAAAAACATGTGTTTATCACGGATCTTTGGAAGAGCCTTTTTGTCAGGAATCTGTGCCAAGGTGGAGGGAACTCTTGGAAGCTTAGGGTTTGTTGTGTCAGAATCCGCCCAACTATATAATGAGTTGAAGAAGTGCTAAGGAATTTTATTTCGGTTGACCCCGGAGAAACATCCCATGGGAAACATCCCCGCGTGTCTATCAATAATGTTGCATTACCTGCCTGGACCAACCGCAAAGAATTGTTGGTCCAAGTTTCGTTTGTTTCAGGGTACTGCCCTGCAGTGCGCTTGGCAGTGCGCCTGGCAGTGCCTAGGCTGCTTCTTCTTCTTCGAAATTCTGGTGCGCTTGCTTGCCTTCGACCGCACGTGGGGTGCCTTCAAAGATCGCTGGTTCCTGTCCCTTGGACGCCGGACGTCAGAAAACCACGGGCCATGGCAATGGATTGGCCTGAAGACCCGGACAACCGGCGTGTCACACGATGTCCAAACGAAAAAAAGAGAATCGATCAGGTTTCCAGCGGTTTCCAAGAAGACTTACAGCCATAGGCAGTGCATTGAAAAAAAAAGGGAGACTTCTGAGACTTCCCAGTTCAACCCCTGGACAAAGGGAAATCGACCAGTCTACCCATTGGTTGGGTCTCCCTATTGCACACGCATATACATGTCCGTCATTTGAATGGGGCCCCCGTTTTTTGAACGTGATTCTTTTTTTTGTAATTTTTCCCTAGGCTTCGAAGAGCGCCAAAGCAAAGTTGACTTGGCATTGTACTTCCGAATCCTTAGCATACCATGCCTCGTCTCTGTAACATTACTATGTCTTCCTAGTGATGTTCGGACTCTTGTGGTTGTGCGGTCACCGCCATTCAATAACCTAGTTTTGCTTAAGGTGATTTGGTATTTTCCCTATGGGTACATTCCGGGAATACTTTTTTACTTAAGCAACTCCAAGTTCATCAAAGGTGCTTGGATTCATCTGGTTCCTTGAGCCGCGTTGCGGGGTGATGAACAAACCATTTATCACGATCGTGCTGCTGTTGTGTCGATCGCAGTGAATCACATACAAAGCTTTTGCCGGCAGGTCCGCTAGAATCTTCAGCTTTGTGTTTTGAAAAAGCTGGGCAGTTCAAGAGTTCAAGTACACTGTGGAAGATTCACATGGAACCTGATGGCATGGACCAGGCTGGAAGACCATTTTCTTCTACAACCCTTATATAAATACATGGTTTTCAGGTTCCATGGTGGGCCTCTGGTTCCAGGAGTTCACACATCAAGGGATATCGCCTCTAGGGCCTGTGAACTCCTTGCTTCACCAAGTCCCCAGACCCGATTCTGGCTCTGGATGAGCCACTTCCCCAGTTTGGGGGTCTACTTGGGTCTACTTAGGGGTCTACTTGGTGCCACCTGGAGCGCCTGTGAGGTTTGACTTCGCGCTCGTAGTGCTCATGGTTTCTTGGACCGACGGACCAGCCGAACCACGAGGAGGGGAGCGCCGACCCGGGCCGATCTCCCATGTTTTGGTCTCCATCGATTTGGTTTTCGTTTGGCGTTTCGTTTTTCGTTTTCCTTTTTGGCATCGGAAGATGGTTTTTTCTTCGTGGCATGCGCTTCTTAGAGCTCGTCAACTTCTTTCTCTCTTAGGAACTAAGCTTCGTAAGCTTTGATTGTTTCTTGTGTGGTTTGCTGACTGGAAGAGGACATGTCCATTCCATGCTCACCTTCCCCCAAGATGAAAGAGCTCTGGCACTGGGTGAAAAACACACCAACACCAATACGGATTCTGAAGATAGTTGTTGCGTTGTCACATGTTCTATAATGACAATGAGACTATTCTTTTTAGACAGTGTGTTTTTGCAGGGACAAACAGTTGAGTGATGAACACCTATATACGCAACAAATACGATTTGCGTATCCTGTGCTGCCCTTTGAACAGAGAGTTTGGAAGAATGCTCCTCATGCTCCTCAATCTGGCAGATGATATCAGCGAACATGATGCATGGTGAAGGATACGCTGGTCTGATCCAGTGGTGAAGAAAGAAACGGTCGAACCACAAGGAAGGCTAGTGTTCGTTGTTCCCAAACATCTTAGATGGTCCCTGATTTCTTTTATCAACTCAATGTATAGAACTAATAACTGAGGAGACCCGGAGACCAGCGACATTTCAAAATTTCCTTCTATATATAGCTATCGACTAGCTACTAGCCGATGCATTTTTGCAAAGCGACTTATTGGGTGCTTTGGTTCCCGCAAGATAGATTTGGCGGGGCACTTCCCGCAACATGTGCTGTTTTGTTACTTTTATCCACAAAGGAAGGTCTGGTCACCTGGTCTGGAATTTATCCTATAAGCTTCATCTCATGGATCCTGTTGGACATGGGAGTTTCAAGCAACACCATATAACACCATTGTTCATAGTGGTGCCCTCTTGGAGCAGACGAGCACTTTCTGTCCGGACCAGTTCCTCTTTTTTTCGCAGCAATTGGGTGATCTTATCGATCTTATCGCAGCGAAAGGATCATCACTCTGTGAAAAGCTGGTACTGACAGATGGTGCTGCTAGATTCTAGCTCGATCTATACCAAGTTGTTCATCTACAAATCTGGCTTGACTGTGGCAGTTGATAAAGATTTCCAGATGACGAACCCGAAGCCTTGCAACATAGAGCATGTTGGAGAAAGATGACCCTGCTCCACCCCCCGGTCACCGGGCCATCCACCCCTTTTAGAACGGTCACCTGGCACCTGGACCAACCGTTCGTTGACCTTTTTCACCGTTCGCCATGTGTGATCGCGCGCGAGAACTCTCGGCGAGCGAGCTGAGGTCACTGAGACGTGGATCATGTTCCTCATCGTTCGCATCTCCACCGACCCGACACAGACCCAAGAGCAGGCGCCAGTTGGGTGGCGGGCGAAACGCGCGCGTCTCGGGGTGGGGTGGTTTCACGGTTGGGGGTGTGCGGTGGGGCGAAGACGGAGCGCGGGTGGTTTAGCGGGGAAAGCTGCAGACGATGGGGAAAGGGAATAGGAACCAAGGACGCTTCTAGTAACCAAGGGCATCGCTACGAATGGAGCAAGAAGCTAGTAGCTCCTGGCATTACTACTATAGGAACAAGGATGCTACTAGGTTTTCCTCCTTTCTTTTGGTTGGTTGAGCTGCGACAGCGGGGACAGAGTTGAGGGGGCAGAGGATGAAGAAAGAGTGGTTTGGGGAGCGGTTCCGATCAAACACAATAAGTGCTTCTTGCTGACCGCTTGATCTTGGACTTGAAGGAATTGAAGGTCCATGTTGGTATTCATCCGAATTTCATGCTAGTTCACGTCACAGAGACGACCATCCCCTAGCGTGTGAACCATGCTCTCATCCAAAGAAACACAACACCAAAAGAATGACTTGAGTTTCGGTGACTTTGGATCATCCTCCAGTACTTGGGCTTGGCAGATTCAGTGAGACCTCCCTCCCGAAAAACATAAAAAAGAACACCTTTTTGCAGCGCACTCTTCAGTCAGGAAGTCCTCCCCTCTCTTTTCAGCGCTCCAAGTCATCCGGCCCGGTGCGCTGCCGCCGCCGACGAACGGCGCCGCGCCGGAGGCGTTCGATTCCTCCGTCCTGCGGCTCTTGAAGTGGCTTTTGCGGCAAAGACCGGGATCGGATCCGCGGTGACGGTGGAGACTCGCCGTGACCGGACGGACGGCCCGTACGGCCGCATGCGGACACGATGCGGGACGCGTCACATCCAAACGAAGAAGGTCGGGGGGTTTGGTGGGGGGGGGGGGCTGAGCTGGAAGAAAGTGGAGCTTTGGATGCACTGGCAGGCTGCAGGAGCTGTTGTTCGAGCATGATTCTTGGCAAGGTTGCTTTTTGGGGGCAGATGGTGTAGTCCAGGTCTAAACATGTGTCATACGGCATCCCTTATTGGTGGAAACTAAGTGGATGTTATAGAGGGACATGACCAGGTCATTTGGTAGACTTTGTCAACCGAACTAGACCTTCCAGTGTTTTAGCTGGGCCAAGCAGCGCAGCGAGTGTTTTGTTGGTGGATCTGCCATGCCTTTCTCTGCAGAGCCGGTCCGCCGATTGACCCGAAAGAACCGATTTTCTGCTTGTTCAAACTTGTACGGTCTCATCGCCTGAAAAAACACCGGTTGGCTGCCTGGTTTCCTAGTCCCTTGGCCACCTGGCCACGCGATGGCCACGCCTGCTCTAACCCCTTGGCTCCCCCTCCTCCCCATCCGCCCAGGCTCGTGCGCATTACGCGGGTGGCGCGGATTGCTCGCTTGTTGCGGCAGGTGCCCGAGGCTCGCTCGCGGCGCTCGCGGCGATCGCAGTCTCCGGTCGGAAAGGATCCTCTGGGAGCGGGAAACACAGCATTGAGACTCTTAAGATCCTCTCATAAGACACACAATTTGCGCCCAGGGGTGGTCAGGTGATTTTTCCCCAAACAGCTTTGCTGTGAGGGGTTCTCAATTCTTGCATAGAAACGATGCTGGGCCAAGAAAGATGATTCCCACCGTTTGTCTCCCCTTGTCTCCCATGGCGTGTCTGGATGCTGGGCTGGGATCACTTTGCTTTATCT